TAGAGTGCTGCCTTGAAAAAAGTGTGTGTGTGTGTGTGTGTGTGTGTGTGTGTGTGTGTGTGTGTTTCCCTCATTTGTCATATTTGCTTTTTTTTCAGTAGCATAGTCTGTGCAAGCATCATCAATGCTTAATATATCACATTTAAAGCATGATACCACTGCTGTTCCTCAAGCCATCACCAAGGCCTGTTCCCCAAGCTGTCACAAGGAGTCTAAGGTTTTGGCCCTGAAATCTGAACATTTTGGCAATGTTATGTGCCTCTGCCATCTAGGTGTGAACTGCAGGGTTGGCTTGTGATGTCATGGTCTTGTGCTGGGAAATGTTGTTTAATGTATTGGTTGTATAATAGAGCATAAGGTAAGAATCTAGTGGGGGAGAAAGATGAAATGTTGGTGGGGGTGTTTGAAGAGATTTGCATACAGCTGAACAATAATAGTTGGTGAAAGTAAAAAAAAGATTGGTATCGGGATTAGTTAGTGAGTTGGTATTCCAGGTTGAGTCACCTTTATCCTGAATTCCAAAATCCAAAATACTCCAAAATCCAAAACTGTCCGCATGGGTGGCTAAGATAGTGATACCTTTGCCTTATGATGCTCAGTGTACACAAACTTTGTTTCATGCACAACTTTTTAAAATATTGTGCCTAAAATTAACTTCAGGCTATGTGTATAAGGTGCATAGGAAACATAAATGAATGTTGTTTAGACTTGGGTCCCATCTCCACAATAGATCATTATGTATATGCAAAGATTCCAAATCCAAAATCCAAAACATTTCTGGTCCCAAGCATTTTGGATAAGGGAGACTCTCAACCGGTAGTTATTTGGTTTGATTGGTCTGAGTGAAAAGGTGTAGAAGATTTATTATTAAGAGTCAGTCAGGTTTAGGAAAAATGCATGGCATTTAAGGATCTGAGATAGCTAGAGTGGAGCGTGAAAGAGGCTGTGTGTGTTTCCAATGTAATAAATATTTAATCTGCTTTATTATGTTTAACTTCTGTAAATAAAGAATTGTTTTTCTTTTCATAAACTTTTAGCCTCCAGGAATGCTATCTAACTGAAAGCTTGGGTTCAGACAAGGTAGAAGCATTGAATACAGAAGGATGGTGTTGCATAAAGTTGATGATCCCCCCCAGTTGGTGTCACACAATGCAGACAGGAGGAAGTATTTACACTAGTGGCAGAGATGGGGATCAGATAAAGCCCTCACTCTTTGTCATTACAATGAGTACAGTAGAAACCTCACATTCAGTTACAGTGGTGAGATTTCCTAAGGAGAACCCCATAATTGGTGGCAACAGAGGGATTTCTAGAGAGGAAACCCCCCAAAAAGCTCTTATTTTATCATCAAGTACAGAAGAGGGTGGCTAAAATGGTGAAAGGTCTGGGAACCATGCCCTATGAGGAGCAGCTGAGGGAGCTGGGTATGTTTAGCCTGAAGAAGAGAAAGTTAGTTTAAATATTTGAAGGGATGTCATATTGAGGATTGAGCAAGACTAGGACATGGAGCAACAGATTCAAGCTACAGGAAAAGAGATTCCATCTAAACCTTAGGAAGAAAGTCCTGATGGTGAGAGCTGTTGGATTGTGGAAGGGGCTGCCTTGGATGGTGATGGAGTCTCCTTCTTTGAAGGTTTTTGAACACAGACTGGATGACCATCTGTTGGGAGTGCTTTGAGTGTGTCTTCCTGCATGGCAGGGGGTTGGACTAGAAGCTTCTTGTGGTCCCTTCCTCTATCATTCAGTGATCTCTGCTATCCAGCCTGCCCCTGGTCCAACTCCTCTTGTCCAGATTTAGCTTTTGATATTAAAATTGAACATGTGTAGCCAAAAGTCTAGTATGGAGAATTTTATTTAGCTCAAACTGAGAGGGGGTCGGCTACAAAGGCCCTGTGAGACCATCTCCTACTTGTATACCAAGAGGCCAGTGGATCGAAGAATTGATGCAGAGACAGAATTCTCCAATTAAAGTATTATTTCATCAAAAGGGAAAATCACACAGTAATTCACACTCATACACTTGCTCTTTCAAGACTCAGGAAATCAGGGGTTAGCTTGGAAAAGATTGTGAGGCAAAACTATGGGTGATACTTACTACAGATGAGGCTTCCAATGAGCTGAAGTGGCGTGGGACACAGCTGTTCCAAGAGCGTTGGTTTGAGCAGAAGTGCCAGTAACTAGATTAGAGACCACAGTGACATAGTGTCCCATGAACTCCAAACTAGCACACTGAGAGGGAAAATGCAGGGGTTTTAAAGAGCTAAAACTAACTGCAGGGCAAAGGTGTGAAATTGTATAGGTGAGATAATCCAGTGTGCCAATATTCAAGGTGAATGCAAAAAGGATTAAGCCATTAGCTGGCCCATCAGGTGAGGCATCTAGGCACTTATCGCCCATTCTTTCTGATTATGGAGCTGATGATGGTCCATTTGCAACTCCACTATCTCCCTGGCTTTTGAGATGGGTTTTTTCCAGTCTTCCAAGTGACCTTTGTATGACCTGCCTGTCATTGCCTAGGTGGCACTTGGGGTCAACTGCAGGGTACATCTGGGGTCATGTGGAATGCCACATACACACCAAAATTCAGAAAAATGCACTTTGGTTAACACATGCCCCTAGCACATCTCACTTGAGCCCTCTTACTTACTATAGCAATCATTTTTCTTGACTATTCTAGGAAGCTTAT